AACGAAACTATCTTCAACCAGACTCGGCAGTACTGGACGGCACCCATGCTCAATGCAACGATGCTGGCCAACGGCAAACTGGCCCGCCAAATCGAATCGCGAGCCTTCAACCCGAACTACACCTTCACTAAGAGCACGGAAGAGTTCAGTATTGGTGAGGTATGTGCACCAATCATTGCCTTTGGGGACGTGGACGCCGGGACAGTGAACAGGACGTTGGTGGAGTATTTGTTCGGTGAGTTAGCATAAGTTGCTGGTGTGGAAGTTGTCGATTCTAACAGCACACCGCAGAGAATGAGCGGCTTCCATTCGAGTTGGGGTGGACTACAAGGGGTGAGCCCGTAGACCTGCAGAGGATCCTGGCTGTGTCGGAGACGATCAGGAGCGCTACTAATCTGCTGACTCCTGCGGAACCGGCGAGCTCGACAAAGGCGGAATCACCACATGGTGCGGGGCGTCGAGACGTGCATTTCGGATTTGAATTGTAGACCAGTAGATGATGGTGCTGGTGGGTGTTGTCATCAACGATGATGATCATACTCCATCATGCTGTTCCCAAGCCATCGAGTTGCCCTGAGCCTCGCCATATTCCCGGCACAAGACGCGTTCTTGGGGATCGCGCTCGAGGTCTTTTATCATTCATTGTCCTTGACTGTTGCACCGAGCCTCATAGCGAGATGTCCTGACCCCTCCCGTACTCGTTCGATTGTCGCGTCTCCTCGGCCTCGGTGACTTCAAATCGCCGCAAGCTCGTCTTGTCGGTGGACGATAGATTTGGTGTTTGCGGCAATACTGCGCATGCACGGGGTGGGGTGCGTGCAGGTGTGGTTGTGTGGTTGTGTCGCAGCAGGTCGGCGTCAGCGTGGGCTGCACACGCCAAGAGAGAGGAAGCGAGCCGCCTGCTGCCGGCCACCGACCGCCGCCCCAAGGCGATGCGATGCGCGATGCCACTGCCGCCACTGCCGCTGTCCAGGGCGCCACTGCGCGTCGCCGGAGACATGACCCTCTCGTCCATCTTCTGGACGACTAATTATACCCAGTGAGTAGGAGAAAACGGGGTGCCGCCGTCGCTCCTCCCGCCTGTCCAGCTGCCTCGTCGCTGTGTGTTGCGGCGATAATAATCATCATGCAGCCCTACCCCTCCCCACCGCCAGACATCGCTGACACGGCTGACATCCCCACGACGCTGCCGCCGAGCGCTGCCGGAGACTGCGACTACCAGTACGACTACGACTGGACCGAGGACCTGCCCCAGAGCGACCATGTGCGCTTCTTCAGGCACACGGACTGGGCGCAGAGCCAGCTGGGGCCGCTGAAGCACTGGGGCCCCACGCTGCAGCTCTTCACGCGCATGCTGTTTGCCGACTCGCGCGCCGCTTGTCTCTGGTGGTGGGTACAGGCACAGGGGCTGGACGCTGCACTTCGATGTGACTGACCGTGGACAGGGGTCCGCATCTCGTCGCCATCTACAATGAAGCCTTCATGCCCCTCGCCGCGCAGGCGCACCCGCAGCTTATGGGCTCGACCTTCCGCGATGGATTTCCGGAATTGTGGGAAAGCATCCAACCCGTCTTTGACGAAGCGCGACGGACGGGCCGCGGCGTCGAACAATCGGCCGCCATGCCTCTCATGGTCGAGCGGCGGGGATGGCGCGAAGAGTGAGATGACAACCTGGGCAAATTTAGGCCACGGAGACTGATAACCGGCAGGGCCTTTTTCTCGGGCAACTTTGTGCCATTGAGCAGCCGATCCACGAGCCAGCCCGAAGGCTTCTACAATGCGCTTATCGAAGTCACAGACCAGCAGCTGGCTGAACGGCGGACCACGATGCTGAATCGCATGGCTTCTGTGCCGGACCCTACCTTGAATGCAGTCTACGCACACATCCTCAAGACGCTCGAGACCAATGGAAACGACATACCACTCGCTCTGCTATATGAAGCCAAAGATCGTTTGGGGCCGACAGGGCTACGTTTGCGGGGGCACATCGGACTCCCCACAGGCCATAATTTAATTGTGGATGGATCGGATATGGACAGTCTCGACGGCTTGATCCCGGATTGCAGACGCGCAGACACTGCCGAACTGGTCCTCATCGACTATGATGAGCGCTTCGGCTCTATCTCTTGGGGCGGATTTGGCTCCCCATCGAAGAAATTGGCTATACTACCCATCACGAGCGGATCGCGCATCTTCGCCTACCTCATCGTTGGCACCAATCCATGCCGGCCACTCGATGACCACTGTGAGCAGTTCTTGAAGAACCTGGGACGGATGGTATCAAGCATCATCTTCGCGGCTGTCAACGCAGAAGAGGCAATGAAGCGCCAACAACAACTGGAAAGTCAATTGGCATTCAGCGACTTGAAGCTGCGCCACCTGATTGAGCATGCTTCGATTGGCATGGCGCACATGTCGCTCCAAGGGGAAACGTTATGGGCCAACGAGCACCATTACGCATTGTCGGGGCGAGATGCTCACGATCAGCAGAGCCCAATGGCTTTCCTGGACGGCTGCTTGGATGAAGATCGCCCCAAAGCCCAACGGGCATGGGACAGCCTGCTAGAGAGTGACAACCATGTTTCTGTCGAGGTCAGAACCAAGCGGCTATTCAAATCACCTATTGGCGATGCGGAACCTGCCCAGGTACAGATTCTTGCCTTCCCCTACCGCGAGCATGGCATTACAAAATCCGTCATGTCCTGCACCACCGATATCAGCAAGCTCAAATGGGCTCAGACATTCCAAGCACGACTAGCTGCCGAAGCACGAGAAGCCAAACGGCAGCAAGAGGCCTTCATCGATGTCGTGTCCCATGAAATGCGCAACCCTCTGAGCGCTATTGTGCATTGCGCTGATGGGATCAGTAACGCTCTTGACGAGTGCCACTCCAAGCTCGCCGAGATACCACAGCCGTGTCTTGACGCTCTCACTGACAACGTTGCTGCAGCAAACATCATCATGCAGTGTGCTAACCATCAGAAGCGGATCATTGACGACGTTCTCACATTGAGCAGGCTCGACTCAATGTTGCTTTCTATTACACCAAGCGCTGTACGCCCCCCGAAGCTAGTCAATTCCATTACTGGCATGTTCGAGGCAGAACTGAAATCGCATCGCATTAGGTGCAGTGTTGAACCGGATGCGTCATTGTCCAAATTAGCAATTGACTACCTTTATTTCGACCCTTCCCGTGTCACTCAGATTTTCATAAACCTCGTTACGAATGCAATCAAGTTCGTCAAGCCCTCCAACGACCGGAGCATTTCCATCAGATACGGCGCCTGTCTCTCCGACCCCCACGCCTTCTTTGCGCAGGATATGTTCTGGGCCACACGAAGCAAGCATGACTGCGACGTAACCGCGAATCCGGAATGGGGCCAAGGCGACGAAATATACCTCACGTTTCTCGTACAAGATTCGGGCATTGGCTTGAAGAGCAAAGATACTCACAAGATTTTCGAGCGCTTCGGGCAAGCTAATGGACGCACTCATGTTAACTACGGCGGCAGTGGACTCGGCCTGTTCATTTCAAAGGAGCTGACGGAAAAGCAAGGTGGTGAGATTGGAGTGTCCTCTACGCTCGGGAACGGCTCAACCTTTGGCTTTTACATCAAGGCTAGACGCGTAGAGCGTCCGCCCCAGACGCTCGGCGAGCTCTACCACGATTCTGGTAAGGCCGGTCAGGCGCCTGAACAGCTGCACGTTTTACTTGTAGAGGACAACATCATCAACCAGCAGGTGCTCGGCAAGCAGCTAAAGAAGGCGGGGTGTCTGGTCGACGTCGCGAATCACGGCCTCGAAGCGCTGGACATGCTCGAGAAGAAGACCTTCGACGTCGTGCTCATGGATTTGGAGATGCCGGTCCTCAATGGGCTCGCTGCGATGCAGGAGATCCGTAAGAGAGAAGTGGACAGAGAGGGGCTGCTGGGTCAGGCGCTTAATGATGGACTGAGAGGCGAGCAGAGGCTACCGATAATCGCAGTCACCGCGAATGTGCGGCAGGAGCAGATTGACAATGCGATTGCGGTTGGGGCTGTGAGTTGGAGATCCGCTTGTTTTGGATGTTGTGGGCTAATACAAGCAGGATCGCGTCATGCAGAAGCCTTTCAAAGCGACGGATCTCGTCCATATGATGAAAGGGCTTGTTCCTCAAGTTACTACGCCGTCGACCGAGTTGCCCGCACCTGGACTAGATGGGCGGATTGGAGATTTAGTTCCCTGAGGTATTCCTCATTGAACCCTGAAAAGGAGCAACCGCTCCTAGGATGCGCCCCAGCTCGCAGAGGCAAAATCGTCGTCGCCGAGCGTATCGAGCTCGCCCGTTGGCGGGACTACAAGGAGTCTGCGCCGTCGGTTGCGAAGCCGCCATCTCGTTGAGTCGATCGTAGAAAGCGACCCATCATAGCAGGACAAGGCGAAGCCACCATGCTGGAGTCGGCTGGGACTGCGCGGACGGCTAACATGTACGGAGGAGTTGCACGGCCCTAGACATGAGATGTCGATGACATGTGGGCGATAGACCGCCAACACAGGCAGTGGCCGACTCTACTGTACGTAGGAGGAGCAAGCTTCAGCTTTTCAGCTTCCCTAGTCTCTGCCACTGTGCAATCGCACAAACAGGAAGTTGTAGGTAGATATAAGCTTGGCAACTACATGTACAAACTTGCAATTACTATGAAAAGACCGATCAAAACCTCATAAATCAGATTCTCTACCCGCGATAGCACTACCTGAGTCCCCCTGTGCAGCCTTTTCGTAGAAAAGCACAAGTTGCGAGGGTCATTGATCACCGTTTGCATTCGAAAGTTACAGTGCTCTAGACTCTAGATCGTGATAGTGCATGTTCGTTGGATGGATGGATCGATCGATCGATTACTAAGCGGCAAGCACCATCTAAGCGAACCTTACGTAATGCGCTAGTTACAGTCCATCCTCGCGGCGCACCACCAAACATTCAAAAATCTCACCTCCCCACCAGCAAAAAGAAAATTCTGAATTGCATCGGCCGGGAATCGAACCCGGGGCTAGCCGATGTTGCGCTCTGGCAACGGCTAACTAGAACATTGTTAGTTATGGTTCAACGAATCAGAATGGAGGAACGGACTTTTACCACTAAACCACCGATGCTGTGGAGTTGTTTGATGAGGGTTTTGAAGAGTCGGGGGGATTATATGGTGGGGAACCGGGAAATGAGGCGTGAGAGGAGGCGTGGGTGGGTGAGGGGATGCGGTGTAGCGGGTGGGGCGTTTGCGTTGGAGGGGGTTCATGCAGCTAGGGAGGTGGGTACTATAAAGACGGGCGCTAGTGGTTGGGGGAAAAATGCGACGGGGCTGTGAGTATTCTTTCTGTTGTGTGGATACTATATATGGTACACTCTATTGGTTCGTTGCTAATCCTGTGCAGTGCTTGCTAACACTCTTATGTTTCGATAAGGTGTACACAGTAAGGTACATTTCTTTTCCAATTACAGGGTTGGACGTCTCGTGTCACCACACCTCGAATCCGGCTTGCGAGTATGTACTCCAACAAACCTTGCGTACTAAGGCTACGGCCTCCGCAAAAGCAAGCCAACCGAATATGTATGCACACGGTTTGGTGCATGTCGTCTTCTCGTACGGGATGCCAACACCATGGCCAGTTTGGGCAGGCCGTTCGTCAAGCGAGTGCAACTGCAGGCAGTGACGTTGCTGAACTTCCAGGTACGGTGTCTGGCCAGGTGGTATTGTCTCGGGGGCCCTACAGTGCGCATCAAGAGGGGAAGGTATGTGCGGGTTGGCGTCGAATTTAAGAAGGCGGGCGTGTCGTACGGCATAGAAAGAAAGGGATATAAGAGTCGCCAGTACGACTTAGGGATGTCACTGCTCTTTTCAAGCGACTCATCACTCATCCCAACCTAAATCACTCAACTCGGCCAGCCCAAAATGAAGTCCTTCGCCCTCATCGCTCCTCTTCTAGCCTTCGCCCTCGCGGCGCCTGCAACAGCCGCCAAAACCCCCGCGCCTCAGATATTCTACGAATTTACACAGGAGAAAAGGTACATCCAGATTGCATATGCTTCTGTTCTCGCAAGAAATGTGTGGCTGATCTACGTTCGACATTTTAGTGGGGCGAAAGGATCGGTGTATTGCACTCCGAACGAGGAGTTTCTGTATTATGCTGACGGCCTCAAATACGTGTGCTGTGCCCCGCCGTCGATGAACTGCCCGGCGGTCTAGGGTGCGCGCAGCAAGCGTGCAGAGGATGCTGGAAGCAACATATGTACAACAATATCGACAAAGAATTGTTTTGTTTTGAGATTGAAGTTGATGGAGGTGTTGGTCGATTCTGGGAGACATACCGTATAATCTGTCCTATACCGGTTCTCTCCTGTTGGGGGAGGAATAGGGGGAGAATTAGCGCTTAGGCTGATGTTATCCACCCAATCTTACAGTTTTGTTACATAAAGCTGTCTAAATCTGAATTCAACGTCTCTGGACAGCTTCTTTTATGCTAACACAACTAGAAATAAAGAAAACAAAACCAGAAACAGACCGTGCGACATCTCCTGCTAACTCCCAGGGTCCCCCGCTTAGGAGCAGGAGAAAACTAGTATAGGGCAGATTATACGGTATAGTAGAATAATGCGAAACTGAGGCGTGAAGAGGCGTGACGGGGTGTGGAGCTAACTGCAGCGTTTTGGGGTTGGGCGGTTCATGCAGCTAACGGGGTTGGGTAGAGACGAGCGTTGACGTTGGTAGTTGGGAAAAGAATTCGGTTACTTGGAAAGCTTCAGTACTCTGTATATATAAAATCATGTACTTGGTACAAAAGTGCTAGGGATAATTGTCTCTAGCGCTGTCTGTATGTCGTTTGCTACACTAGCAGTAGTAATTCGCTTCGTCGCTCGCCTCGCAGCTACACCCAAGATGGAACTTCGATAGTGACTGGTTGGTAATTGTGGCATTGACATGCTCCCCACTATGATCCATACGTCTTCATGGCTCAAGCTCATCCGTCAGGTGTTTCTTGCCGTCTACGTAGCCGCATTTCATCAAACCACCGTGTATATGATAGGCAGACATATCATCCTGATCACGAATCCGAGACTTCTTACTGTTGTATGTTAGGAAACCACTCGTATTCCATCTGCCAAGTCCCGACACCTAAGGAGAAGATTATGGTGCCTGAGACGTTTAAACAACAACAGGAATACCTAGAAGTCGGTGCTAGGGATGACTTCCTCCCATTCCTCACAAATCTTCCCCGTGGACAACGTCGGCAATACGCGCCGCTGCTTTGCCCGGATCTCCAGGCTGGGTGCCGTGGATTGCACTTGCAAACGCCGCCATCTGCTTGTTGATCTCTTCGTACGCCTCAAGCGGATCGGTATCAATCCTCAGACGAGACGGATGGAAGATGTTGGTGCGGAAGTAAACGGGTTCAATGATGATTGACTTGATACCGAATAGTGCGGCTTCCTGCTGGAATCCTTCGAAAACTCCTAGGGAGGTGTGAATATGTGAAAGCAGGGAGCGTTCGGAGTTTTTAGCCTACCTTCGAGCGCAAATTCAGAAGCGCAGTAGGACGTCGCCCCTATGTTCCCGACCCAACCGGACATCGAACCCATGAACACCACCATGGCAGCGTTCCGGGCCCTGAAGTGTGGCATGATGGCTCGTGTAACATTCACCGTGCCAATGAGATTGGTCTTGTACACTTCCATGAAGTGGATGTCTCTACAGAACGCTAGTCAGAAGACTTTATATGTATCTAGAATAAGTAATACGCGAAAACTCACCTAACCTGCTCCAAATGGCCTCCAGTGAGATATGAAGCATTGTTGACAAGTACATCGATGCCTCCAAAGGCCTCTTGGGCCGCGTGAATGCATTTGTCGATGTCTTCCTGGGAGTTGTTGAGATCCAAAGCTATTGTGTGTACATTGTTACCTCTCAGATGCTCGAGGGAGTCGACATTACGTGCGGTAGCAATGATGCGGTCTCCACGTTTGACCAGTTCGAGAGCAAGTGCTTCACCGAAGCCGGAGGAGCATCCGGTGATAAGCCAACTCAATGGAGACATGATAGGCTGCTGTTCAAGGATCGGAGTACAATGCCAAAGGTCCGTGAGCAGAACCTAGAGCGTTGTTGCCCTTTTTAGATTGATGATTGATTGTTGAGCCGGTTCATGTCGTTTCCGGTCAACGTGGAAAAGCCGGGGATGTGCATGTGGCACAGTACCTAGCACGTAAAGAGCCATTTGAGATAGCCTTCGCGTACCAAGGAATTAACTGTCGTCGCTGACGGGGTATTGAGAGCGTGAACACGGGTACCGACGGCTGCGAGAGCGTGCTGTCGCGAGAATCAATAAGAGTCGTCGGAGAACTCACAGAATACTGTTTAATAGGACATACTCGTACAGAAGGGCCGTCCATCGTGCATCCGTGAGCGTTACCTGTAGCGTGTCGTCCATATGGTGTCGAAAAACAGGAGTGAGAGAGCAGATGACGAAATAACGACCGTCGTGTGAGCTATGACAAGACAAGGAACGCTACATTGAGGCATCATAATAGAGGTGAGAGGTATATTTGAATGCTCTGGCCGGCATGCGCTCGGATAAAATCTACTTATACCAAACTAAGTCTGACAGCTGAATCATGACGTATACAAGACGTCTCAAAATCCCAGTCCTCTTTCTGGAGACACGTCTTGCCCGCGAAAACATAAATATCAATGTAGAGATACCTCCGTTCTCTCCCCAAAGTCCGCTCGAACGCCTAGAGTGCAACCAATTGAAAATTATCGTGATTCATGAACATTCCGTTCCGTAGACCTTGCACACCGGCGATTTCCATAATCTCTCCGAGGTCCCTCTTTATTCCGGTGTTTACGAAGATCGGTAGCTGTTACTAGATATTGTGAAAGGGTATAGGTAGGTTCAGAACATATCGTTCTGGCTCAGTAACCGCTATTGACTTATGAATGCAGATATATCGAGACGTCGATACGAGATGGGTAGCGACTTTTCGACGTTGATTCATGTTGGGCAAGCTCTCTTGCCGTAACAGCAGGTGCTATCAACCGCATACGCAGGCTTAGAGAACAGATTGCTGTAACAACTCCAGGCTCCCTCTGGAACCTAGACAGGCCTAATATTCGCCGTCCTCTTAAGCCACCACAACGACACCCACGTTCCCGCGATATTCTTGGTCGACCAAGCCACGAACTCCTCCTCCAAAAGCTCTTTATCCGCGCGCTCATGTCGGCGTCCCATAGAGTCCCAGTCATGATAATAGTAACTTGTGTTCCATTTCTCATATCCAGGCTTTGGTGTCCAGGTAGTGGGACTGTGCCTCGTCCTCCGACGCGAGAAGCGCTTCGGCTTGACGCATTTCTTATTGGCGTCAGTGTACCGGCTGTGAGGTCGAGTTACCGGTTGTGGAGCTGCAGTAGGTGGTTGTGGAAGGAGCCAGTAGCGCGGGGTGATGATTGCTTTGGCGGTGGGTACGCCGGCAGCCCAGGGCTTAAAGGTGAGGATCTCGGGGATGATTGTGGCTTCTTCTGCGAACTGGACTTTCTTTTCTGTGGCGCTCGAAAAGTCCTTTTTGACACGACCTGAGAAGGCGGTCTTTGGGCGCTTGGTTGCTGGTCCGGGTTGAGGCTCCGCCTCCTCGACGGGTCTTTTCCTCTTCTTCGAGAGCTCACGCCCTGGTGTCCCATCTTTCTGTAACACTGCAAACGTCTCCGCTGCATCTGTCATCACGACATCGTCAGACCCGGACTCCACTCTTGAACCGTTGTTTCCTGCCTCCTCTCCGAGATCAGCTCCGAGATCAGCAAGCAACTTGTCGATTCGACTGAACCCAGGTACCTTCTGGTCCATGTGCTTATGTCGGTTCATTGAGGCAGATCTCTCCGCGCGGGCTGCAACGACCGCCTGGAACTTCAAGAACGCAGCCGTGGGAGCTTCATCTGACCTATGACTGTGTCGTCTCTTGGCATGGAAAACACGGGGTCTGTATTCTTCCTCATTCTTGTCTCGATCTTCTTTCGGCACAGAAGGATCCTTCAATTCAATCTCGCCCAGGCCATCACCCGTGATCCGCACCCCGGGCACCTTTCCAATCACATCCTGCTTCCTTTCCCAAA